TTACCGAAACAAAATTTGCTAAATTTTGTTATTATACTGCTGAAAGTCATATCTCTGTGCAAAATTCGGTACTTCCGGCAAAACCAATTTTTTTCGCTAAGAAGTATACATGGGATTTCGCCAGTGTTACTTTTTTTAGATTGTAAGTGTGCATAAAATAGAGGATGCTGAGGCTATATGCACTAGGTTATTTGGGCAACAGCGTTTTTCAAAAGAAAAAACGCAGGTCAAAATTCTCTTTGACCAGATTTCGAAAAATGTATAATCTAATGTTCTATAACAGTCATTCAACTGAATGATGATATCTCGGAACTACATAGGCTGATGAGTCAGCATTGGTCGTTAGGTACCTGGTTTGTATTGAATGGGATGTTATCGATCCCAAATTTTATAGAGAAACTGAAAGAACTGATCTTCCTCGATTCGGCCTAATTCGCATGTGCATTTACGATCGGTGCGAACAGGGCGATAAGTATTGACATGATTCAAGGTACTGTTAGTCATTTTTTGTGAACTAAGATAAATCAAAGGTATAACGTCTAATATAAAGTATACACCCCGTTCAAAACTAATGTTTTTTTATGTGAAAATAAACCTGAAATTTGGTGATTAAGATTATGCCTGAGCCTCTGTCATGCAGTTCGCATATTCAGAGCATTATCCAATACAACTCTTTGTAACAACTATACTTCAAAGTGCCAAATTGAAACGTTTAGCCGCGTCGAGACTTTGCGATAGCTGCAGAAACATAAATAAGCCTACAACTATTATAGATAGTTAAAAATGGTGAATTAAGTGAAAAAGTTTGTTGGGTGGAATCGATCACCGTCAACGGTGTCCGAATTTGTTTGAGGTTTTGTTCAAAATTAGTATCCAAAACAGCACTAAAAATAAAAGTAGAGCGGCAAAAGATGGCAGCAGAACTACAGAGGGCTGTAAAAATAAGCTTCTGTGTCCTGTAATGACGTATGGAGAACTGGCTACAGCTATAAGTTAACAGACACCGTATCAAAACTCCAACGCGCATACCAGAGCACCAGAATGTTGCGACTAATGACACGGTCTAATCGATACTCATCTCCTTAAATGCAAATTGTTGACAAACATTTTATATCGATATCAAACCTGAAAAAGTGGATCGTAGACATATATGTGAGGAAGAATTGAGGCCACCCGAAATCAAACCAAATTCAAGCCAAACGACTTATTTGGTAGTGAGCACCGAATCGATAGGCATACAGACTCCAATATTTATCGCTCTAAAGTGTTTCTGCCTAAAAATAAATGCTTAAAATAGATGCTTAATCGATTTCAAAGAACGGAGCTTTATTAGGTTTATTACAAAGAAAAACTATCTGGATGTTATTTGCATTGTCTTTTTTTGACTCTCATTTAGCAGATGAGCAGAAAAAGTTTTGCGCAATATCAATGTACCTATCGTGGTGGCTTGCAAAACTATACCTGTAGCGACTAATTTTGCCACGTGTAACAAGAGGGATGTACGTTTAAGAGGCTCATACAGTTAGCACTTATTTGCTGTATAAGGTCTTTAGCTCTAACTGATCTAGCTGTAATTACTAGAATGCTTTATAGGTATATAGCGTTGTGGTGAACAAAGTTCCATAAGGTCCAATTACTTATGCTCAGCTTCATTTTTAGTAATTTACTGAGTTATTGGCAGTAAAGGGCAAATCTTAAACAGGGCATTCTCTCTCTTGTAATAGTGTATTAATTTGGTTCATTGCTAATCAGGCAAAAAGGTCAAACCATAAAATTTACAGAAACATTAGCTTAGCCACTTTAAATGTATTATCAGTACGCCCAAACTGATGTATCATATACAAAAAACGAGAATATATTTATTGGCTGTCACTATTCACCTTGTTTATTTAATCGGGCAGTTATACGGCATAGGTTTATTTTTCGGCACGAGCTCGAGGGAAACAACTCGGTAAAGCTAACAAAGCTAGCAATCTAATATTTAAGGGCTCCTATTCACCTCATAAAGGCAATTTTCAAAGAGAATAAGTACTAATATCATTATTGCTTATATTTTATGATATATCATTATTGCTTGCGTATTTAGAATACATCCATTTTTTTTTCCTGTAAATATGTTTGATATCCCATATTAGAAGGAAATACACTTAAGTTCCGTAAAGAAACTAAAAGCTCAGAAATGTTTGTTAGTCTAAGTATTTGCCTAAGTATAAGGAGTAGTCAGGTACACGCGTTGAAGTTGTATAGCTAGTTAAAAGAGGCAAACTGAATTATTTACTCACCTAAGGAGTGTAATTGCATAAACTTTTTACTTGCTTTTTAAAGTACCTTACGAGCATCGATATTCGAACATATATGTGCACACAAATACCCGAGTAAAATCCAAAGTCTAATACGAATTTGATCCGATTAGAACACTTCGGTTTAAGTATGTTAAACTGTTGAGTGAATAACGTATCCTTTTTAAATTCTGATAAATCTTATAAAGATATGAGAAGCAAAAGTTGAGGTGCATCTCTGCTGTGAAATAGTACTATTTTATTATATGTTAGGTTCAGCTGTTGTTGAAAATAACACAATTCACATAGCTGGAAAGCTTGTTAGATAGCGATCTTCCCAGTAGTGCGCTATATGCAATGAAGAATCTGCTGACTTACGGGCGGTTCATATTAACAGTCTGCTGGGGATATGTTTCTCACCAAGATTTGCACGGCTTATTGAATTTTCTGCCCTGATTTAGGAATTTTCTGATAAAGAACGATGGGTGGAGCTTTCAGAGGATTTTTGATTGGTCGTGCTCACATCAATTACATACATTTCGCACTGTTCATAAGCTCATCGGCGAAGTTTAATTATTGTGGTGATTTAGTTTAATTTTTTTGAACTTGCTCAATTTTAATAATATAAGGGAAGTACTCCTGGCATCTAGCGAGCTCATTTTGAATAACGCACAGCTATTTAAGTAACGACTTCAGCGTTTCAAGTTATACATCAGATACTGTGGTTAAGAACTCTTTCAGACAATTGACCTCTCGGCTACCTTTTGTGTTTCTAAGTTTGGTAGGCAAACCCGTTGTTACTACACCATCACTGAGGTCATCTTAATAACTCGAACTTGAGCAACATATTCTTAAAGATTTTTAGTAACCAGAGTACGTGGTGAATCCGGTTTACATGAGAGATAAGCGGTCATGCTATCGTTGCGTTGTAGATAAACACTTGTTCAACCTTGTATAGATTTTATTATAAGTTTATGCATTAGATCTTGCGGATAATCTTACTGACTTTTTTCCAGATTTGTCATCTGCTAACGAACAAGTTGCACATGGGAATGGCAAGCTTTACAAACCTGTTGCATTAGTTATTTTAACTTATTGTAATAACTTTGTCCGGGTGATGAAATTCCCTTTCTAAGTTCAATTAAGATGAACACACCATCCTACAAAGTGCTAGAATTTCTATAGAGAACATACAATAACAAATGGAGACTAGTTAAAGAAATGAAAGCAGTTGCAAACCAATTTCCAAACCAAAAGAATGAGAACAAGTTAATGTGGTGACTAGATTTTTATTTTATATTTATATTCAGTTTATAATTCTTTAATATTTAGTTTCCGGTTCTTCATCTTTTAAACATTTTTTACGTTTTATATGTTGTTTTTTAATATTGCACTTCTAGTATTTATTTGCCGAAATGTATAAATTGTTGCACCTAGATAAATTATATATCTACTTTAGTGCCTGAACTTGAAGCAACCTGAATTATAAAATCGAGATAACTGTATAACCCGGAAGAAACTGTGATAGGCTTACTTTTCGATGGTACATAATACTTGACCGTTAACAAACTAGAAATTGGGCAGAAAATCGGCTTGTGTCTGTAAACATCATTCTAACATATTTGAAAAACTCTATCGGCTCAGATATAGTACATAGTTTTCTAGCTGTAGAGGAGTTAATGATAAATAGTAGCGCGAAATACGACCATACAAGCAGTTGATATAACCCATAACTGTGTTATTAGTATAAACAAAAAGGGAATATTTGATTGCGTTTCCCTCGGTTTTTTAAAGATTTGGCAGTATTAGTTTTCTTTTGCTTTTGGAAAACCTGAGGTTTTTAAAAATAAACATTAGATTTTTTTGTTGGCAGCAGGCTGTATCTGTAAATATAACCATTGAACCATGGAAATAACATTACACACAAGTACATCAGCAGACTTAAAGGCGTACAGCTTGTCAAACAATGACGAAGAAAGCCATGAGCTGCAAGGAGCTCAAATGCGTCAGCATGGTGGTATTTAAGTAGTATCACCGTATTCATTAGTAAATGTCCTGTATTGTGTCCAAGTTAACCTCATATATATATATATATATATATATATATATATATATATATAGCGTTATCAAACGAAGTGCCCTTGAGCTGGTGTTTGTTTTAAACCCATACGAAAAATCGACATATGTTGTGCAATAAGATTTTAAATACCAACAAAAGTCTTGATGTACTAAGATATGAACAAGGTGTACCAAGTATGCGAATAGAAAAACTTAGTGAATTAATTGTAAATGTATATTTCCACATGTTGAGCGAACTAACATCGTAACGCTAGTCACCTTAAGTAATTTTGATGGTGGGTTTTATCGTAATTGTACGTAAAAAATGTCTGGTAAAATTATCTATTTACAGTTATTGTACTCTACTATATCTGTACACATAACCCTTCTCAATAAAAGCATTTTAATTTAATAAAGTTTGAATCAACAAGTGATATGGCCTGATCTTCTAAAACCCTATCTGTGAGGTTTACATTTCTCAGTTAGATTTAACGCTAGAGCCGTTTGGTTTGATTGATGCTGTGTTCCAAATAAGAACTGAATTTTCAATTGCTCTTACAGGTGTATGATGCTTCATCTAGGTTTCAACGAGATGAAAGACCTGAAGTGAGTAAGCAGACATGCATGGTAACTTATTAACATAATGGTTTGTGTATATTCTAGGTGGCGGTGAGGCTGATGTGCAAGAGTTCCTGATAGCGATATATGCCCTGTTTGCCATCGGTTCATTTTTGGGTTCGTTAACCTTGAAGTTAGAAGATTTTACTATTAAGGATTCAGAATAATTCGTAACTTGTATAAAAATTCTGCATTCGCCAAGCGCTTCCTATATTACACTTTAACCACTGCTGACTATAATTTTTCGGCCGATCAAAATAAGACGCGAAAAGGCGTTGTAATTTCTGCCATTATCCAATCGTTTGCTAGTAAATGGTGCTAACCAAACAATTATTCTGCTGTTGATACCCGGTATTTGTAGTAATACTCGGGTTCTTAGGCTGCTGTGGAGCAATTCGCGAGTCCCCTTGTATGCTGTGTACCTTCTTTGTGCTAATGGTCTGTGTGATTGTAGTCGAAGTCGGGGGTGGCGCGCAGGTCTGGAGTCAATCAGAACCCATTCGCGAATCGGTAAGACCTCTGGTAATAGAAGTTGAAAGTTATGAAGAGTAATACCTATTAAAAGTTTATGTAAAGATCCTATCGGCTAGCTCTTTTACTGAAAATAAGCTAGTTTTTCTTCCTTGCTATTTTTCTTCCATGCAGAAGCCGCTACCATGTAGGATGTGGTATGTGGTAACTCGATTTGACCGCGAAGGTAAGCGGTGTTTGTAAAAATAGTTTGGACACTTTTGATTATTACTTTACAGATTAAGAAGCAACTGTCATTTGTTATTCAAGAGGAGTACTCCCCCACAGATACAAATAGCTTTTTCAACAAACGTATCGATCAGCTGCAGTCAACCTTTAAGTGTTGCGGTATCATTGGAGCATCCGATTGGGCGAATTCCAAATACAACGGAATCACTGGTATATATCAATAGAGTATATATATCTTTCTTACTTTATATTGAGATAAGGGATGCATCTGAAAGAATAATTATTTGGCGTCTAGATATCTACTTCCTTTAGTGAACTTACTCGTTTATATCAAACACAATATGGCTTTATAATCTCGTTTACTACAGACGTAACTTTAGATAAATGCCCTCGGTAATTATTATTTTATAGCTCTGGTTGGGTAATCTCTACGGGACAGCTGCCTGATGTTGCAAGGAAATTGGTTGCCTCGATTTGCGGTCAAAATCAGTGAGTTTCGTGACCTGATAATAACCGCCTAAGTGCGTTTTACAAAAAGAAGTCTTTATTTATTATTATTATTATTATTATTATATCCTTAAGATCATATACTACTTCTTAGATATCATGTCGCACTCTGTAAATAAGATGTCCACTGTAAGTTACATAACCTGTTACTTGTTGCAGTATGTCGAGCTTAGGTGCACAATTACTAGCTTAATTACAGAATCAAATTATTATTCTTATTTTAAAAAGGTACGTATTAATAGTCGGGTTATAGTAGACCGTGATCACAAATAGGCAAGAAGCTTCGGTATCTCTGTGTGTGAACAATATAGTGTAACTTTAAAAAAAATTGAAAATAGATTTAATATTGAATTCATTCAAAACCTTGGAGTATTAAATATTCATTTCCACTTGCTTTATCCAATAAAATATAAGCTCTATTCTGGAAGTAGTGTAACAAGCAGGGGTATATGAATTTTTCTACGAGTAATTATTTGTTTATGCAAAAAATGTTCTATAGATCTACAGTCATTTTTCAGATACAATAATTCTTTCTCAGCGACACACAAAATTCTGGTTGAACTCAACACGTGTTCCAAAATAGTCAAGCAGATAACATGTTTTTACGGGACCCGAATATCGCCCGTGAGTCTCGATATTGCTGCTAGAGTTTGGTCATCAAGCAGAAACACCTTTACTTGATACCCCTTAATGGAGCGATAATACCAGGCACTCCAAGACAAATTAGTCTTGGGATTTTATAGGCACAGTGAATTGTCAGCGAGTACAACCTACAAAGCAATAATATCAAGCACACCTAATCTAATATTATTACGTATGACATCAATTAAATTTATTGCACTTAAATGTCTCTTTAGTAAGTTACTAAAGGAAGCAAAAGCGTAGTCCAGATTAGCGCAGATTAATGTTTTGACTATCTTCATTGCACTCATTGGAGCAACCTCTCACGTTATTCTACACATGCCTTTATGTATTTTCTACTTTAATTACACGTCCTATATTTCTTAGCTTAATTTTTGTACCTTCTTAAAAATTAATACCGAGGAACTCTTAAATTGATATGCTGATAAAGCAGACAGAGTCAATTCACTTTATAAACACATTCACAGATGCCCTCAGCTAATGTTGAAGGCTTTGGTTTTCCATGCCTCAATGCAAGCCAATAATTCCCTATGTGCAAGCCGCATCTTCGAGCAGTCTCTGCTATTTTAAGGAAGTTATCAGATTTATCGATTTTCCGGCTAGATAATTAAGAGAGCTCCATTATGTTGTGGCAATGAAAAGGCTTTTGACATATTGTTAATCACTGTAGCCAATACGATTATGAACAGAATCAACAAAAAAAATGCGCCTCTGTGGGATTCCAATCTTTCCTGACTCCACCGCAGTTGGTAACAAGTTTTCGTTTAAGCAAATAAGATTTGATGACTGTATAGAGCAGACAATTATATACAAATTTACAATTAAAAGTTTTCTTGTACGCTATTTACAGATTTATTACCTTTATTTCTGCTTGTATCATAAAGTACATCGTTTCCTAGAAGTCTTCGCCTCAGAAGACCCGCTGCAGTTTTTCCACCTTTCAAACGTGTTAGTAAGCCTGATATCCGTATTATTCTTGCCTGATAACATCCTTTCATATTGTTTTCTCGTGTGCCAGCTTCGTTGAAATGATTGACCAAAAAGAAATGCCATTGCGAAGACCCTCTTTAAGTGTTCTATACCTCTTCAAGTCAATCTCTAAAGCAGTTCACCATTTTTGTCTTTCATCTGTCAGGTGGACAAAAGGACGACAGTTATCGAACAGTACAGGCTCAATGTCTAATATATATCAGAATACTAGAGTTGCTTTAATGGCTACGGTGTCCAAATGGGATGCATGTGCTTATGAACATAGGTGCACCATCGTTCAGAAACGGCAGCATTAAGTCACATAAAAGGTCCGCAAAAGTTGTATCTCAGTGATTGGTAGAATAGCTCCGAAAACTATATATTTAAAATCTAAATATTAGAAAAATAGATATCTCCGCTCATGTTGTTTCATATTTTCGTCGATCAGTAATCTTGTTTATAATATCTTTCTAGCTTGCTGACAATAAAATAACCTTGAGCAGGCGGCCAAGTTCATCTAATGTACTTTGGCAACTTTTAATGCTGTACATAATTTCTTATGCTTTTAGTATTTGTGTAATATTTAACCTTGCCTTTTCGCTTTTGTCCACAGATCCAGCTACTTGATGCATGGCTCATGTGATAGCCGATACAAGTGGCTTCAAACTTCAATAGTAATGTGTTCCTTTGCCCCATAGCGTTTATACAACTTATTAATTTTATGTGGTCACTTAGCGGCCATGTCGTTATATAGAAGACAATTTCGCATTATTTTTTATCTAAACACCATAGTGTAGGTCTTTTTACAGATGTGAACTTCCCGTTTGATTCTCATTTTAAATCTAGGGTCCATTTTGATCATATTGTCCTTTTCCAAGAAGTCGGAATAACGCGTTATCCGCTGTACAGTTGTGTATATTACTTCACATACTTCGCTGACCCTTACGAGCAAATTATACCTCAGAAAAATATATATGTATATATATATATATTGAATACTTTCCTTCTAAATACGCAGATGATTGATTATCGCTTTCGAAAAGTGCCATCATTGCAACACTGATCAACCAATTTGTCCATTTTGCATTTTTTACATATTCGTTTATTCCCTACATGTTACCACGACTTTAATCTGCTTTGTTCTCTTTGAACATTCGAAAAACGTTTTTCGTATTTTAAACGAACTCGTGAAAACCAGCGTCGTCTTCTTTGTTCGTTATGTGAAGAAAAGGAACACGATGATTCGCCATGTGGATCCAGTTTTGACCCTCACACGACTTACCCTAATTTATTCGTTGTGAGCAGGAGTTTGTGTTAGGTCACGCGTTGAAGAACTTGCCCAACAGTACTTCTCGTCTTCGTTTAGCGTTTTTAATTTTAGAAGGTGTAGCACCACTGTGCGTTCTTCAGAGAGCCAAAAAAAAACGTTTTGATGATTTAGATGCTAGTATGGATATATTCAGATCAGGTTATCTCCTTAAATTTGCAAAACTAACTAATATAACAGATACGGAATAGTTGTTTCTTATCTTTATTAACAAACCTAATAAAATGAACAAAAAACATATTGATTGCTTTTAAAATAACTCTAAAGCAAAGAACGATTATTAAAAAATATTTAGAAGTTGGCTGTCTATTTCAGAAGCATATTTTGGGTACTGATGTACCACATAATATTGGACAAGATATTTTATCAAAGTATTGTACTCAATAGCTTCATTCTATTGTTTCGATAGCCGAGGAGATCTTTATGCTACAGATACACTTGATTTTGTTTCCTAACCTTGAATACACCTGATATTTTGGTTTTGCAGGGCCTCGTAGTTTCTTAGGAAACGTGGTCGGCGTTGTTCCTGAAGCAATCGGTGCTTATAGGGTCAGTGTTTATTTTGACCGTATTTGTAACGTGACGGTGAAGAGAGGTGTAAAAACCTTACACGTAGCGAAAAATGTTTATGTTTAATTGATAAAGATGCTGGTCAAGCTCTAAATGCATGTGTACCCTAAACTAAGTTATTTTTCCGATAACTTTTGTAGATATATAGGGCCATCTGCTCCCGACGTTCCACCTAGGTTCAAACGTTTGTGATCCATCCAAATCGTAACTACAGATGAGATATTCTTTGCAGGAACCGGAGAGAAATGCCGCTTGATCGTGGTCTATAATCAAAGAATGGCACTCGTTGGGTTTTTTTTACAGAGACTGTTGTTTCAAGGCTCAGTGCTTAGGACAGCATTATAGACTTCACTTTTTAGTATTTTTTGCGCAGTTTAGTGCGATGGTTTAAAGCTGCTAAGTTCGTATATATCGTCCCGCCCCGCCTTAGGCACTCACAAAAAGTTCGCATGGACGAAGTCATTAATACGGTTGTTGAAGACACGTAAAGGAACCCCAACACCTCCATTGTTTGCCAGTTATAACTGATGGGTCTGTCGCAACTGGTCTCCTGTGTGATGTATGAAAACATCGATGTTCGATACTATAGGACCCCGTTAACCTAAAAGCTCAAGTCTACAGAGTACGCAATGCGCGATGTGCACGGGCCGAATGGTACCTGAAAGGCGGCGCTGATTTTGTATTGAAAATTATCTTTTAAGTTGATCCGCATCTTTATCTAACTACGAAACTGCCGTATTCTCTCGCTCTACATATAAAAAAAAATTATGGGCTAGAATAACCGCATAGTGCGATTTCTAAGCTCCACTAAATAATTTATAAGGAGGATTATCAACAGTTAAATAAAAATTGTTTGGTGGAGCTTAGAGATCGCACTATGCGGTTATTCTAGCCCATAAAAAACTTGTTTATATATCAGACTAAAAAGACGTTGTTCGATTTAACCTGGATTAGTTTGACCTCTATGCTTTTAATGAGCACGAAATTGTTAAATAAGATACATGAACGCATAATCTGCCGGGGGGAGTTCGTACCATACGATTTGACGTCGTTAGACTTTTCCCGGTAAGGTTCAAAGCAATTATGTTCCGATTCAGGCGATTGATCGAAACTTGTGCGCTTCATTCTAAGCACGTGAAACATTTCGAAGCTGTAGCGCAATGAGTAATGTGTAAAATATGTCTGGTTGATAACATGATTTTGGAATTGTGCTTACTAGACAAATTGATATAATTTTTTTTGGTGTAATATTAGAATATAGAAATTAAAAACTTTCCTTTTTGTCCGAAATCGATAGTCTACGATATTGCCAGTTTTTATACGACTTCTGAAAAGTCCGAAAAAAAACATCCATACAGCAAACTTTTTCGGCAGTTTTCAATAAAGATAGTTTTCAAAGGCTCAAAGATTGTCTTTATCTAAATACAATCTTAGAAAATATATATAGGAAAAAACGCCAATTTAGGTACCATACTTGGTATGCACATATGCGTCTGCCGTTCCCGGTATATCGGTTTTGAATTGTAACACATGGTACTAGTTTGTCGAATGTACTACATCGACATCGTATGTTAAACGTCAATGCTTTAATATTTAAAATATTCACTAAATGTCACTTAAGCTATTACTTCGGAAACTCTTGAAACTTCAGAAAACTTTTCGATAACTTTTTTACATTAACCAGTAATTTTTATTATCAGTAAGGCTAAGCTTTCAGCCTAAGACTCGAATCCATGACACAATAGCATTCTCTGCTTCTCTATAAACAATCTCCGCTGCATGCACAAAATGGTTGTACCGCAAACATAAATAAAGTTAATACATCGAAAATACGTAACTACCTTCATGGGTAGTTCGAGCCCCGTTAATGGTATATGCTACATAAATAAAAACAAATATAAGCTTGTAAACATAAATATAAATAAATTAATGTATTTATAAATTAATTGTATACTTTTTGTTTCGTTCCACCTTTCCAGGTACCTCCCTCATGTTGCGAGTCCAAGGACACTTTAGTTTGCGACGCTGCGCGTCAAATTCAATTTTTCGGTGCAGCGACTAAAGCGCTTCACTCTAACGGTTGTCTGTCAGTCCTTTTAGGAGGTCTCACACAATATGCTACTCTTGCAGGCGGAGTTGTTGCAGCAGCCGTTGGACTGCAAATTATTGGGCTTATATTTACCTTGCTTCTTTGCTGTGCTGCACGGAGGGATCTAAAGGACTAGATAAAAGTCACAACAATCTAAGAAAAAGTGACCGATAGCTATCCAATGGTAATTTTACTAAATATGACAGCTTTAACCGCAAAACTTAGAGCGGTGTTCCAGAAACCCGCGCTTGTAGTTACGTCCTCAATATGAGTGGGACAATTTTAAATCCAGAGAAGCCGAGAAGATAGCCAATTAAACAACGATTTTGTTCTATCTTGTGGCGTCCATGAATACAGTAAATTATAACAAAGTAAGAAATAATACCAGCAATTGATCTAGATCTTTTCTTGCAAATTATTTTCATAACATCTCACTATATTGTGGCACTCGATTTGCCTGTCAATTGCTGAGGCTTTAAAAATATGTAAAATTTGAAATTTGAGATTTAAGGTAACGATTTTCCAGCAGTTAATACAAGTTTTGCTTAAAACGAATGATTAGATGTTATGTTACATTACAACTAGATTCAAAATTTGTCTATAAGCTCCACCGTTTGTAATGTTGTGTTGAACTCTTACGGGAATGACGGAACTGAGTAGAGGCAAAATACAAGTACTCTAGATATATTTCTAGGGGTCAACTAAGAAATAGAACCGGATCGATAATTGAAATTAACTATTATTATTATTATTAAAAGTTTTGCTTGGTTCTGCCTAGCTGTCTTTGGACTGCTCAGTGTTAGAGAATGTGTGTTCCGCTATGCAGCTGAAATACCTTCTCCGTAAGCTATTGTTTAATATTGCCATAATAATAATACAAATATGGAAAATGCTAGCTCTAATAAGAGATCCTAATGCTTTAGATAATACATAATACTACACCAGGTAATACGAAAAGTGGAACAACAAGCCTAAATTTTTACACTCAAACAAAGCATAACAAAGACACTGAAAGCGTGTATTGTTGATCAGTTGGTGAATTTATTATTGAATACTCAATACGAGCCCTGAAATGAAATCACTTCTTGTGATTTCTCAGTGTAAACGCAACGAAATAACAGTAGAATCTACACAATATCATTATATTACATGGAAGGCACAATTATTAAAAACAATTTGATCGATGGACTCTTGGCCGGCCAGCTAAAATACTTGGCTAACGTAATCTCGTAAAGAGAGCGGTGAATGGAACAAAGTGACGTACGCAAGCTTTCTCATCCTCGTCATATTATGAAAGAAATCCTCATGGTGTTTCTGCTACCGTCTGATTAAAACAAAAGCTTAAATTAACCTAAATGTGTGATCAAAGACTATTGTAGTTAAACATAAGAAGTGAAAAATGTTTGAATGAAAGATTTGCCACTTTCGAGCCACCCGGGCGTCTACTAGCTTGAGGTGAGCTTGGTGGATATATTTTATCATATACCTTCTCTAAAGGTAATACAATGCATTGAACCATTTAAAGTTTCTATATGCTTTTTATTATCAAAGATGCTATTATTAATTATTTAGCCATCAAAATGAAGACAGATATCACCATACATTTATGTTTGGCTCGGCATAGACGACGGGGCCGCATTGACTCTGTAATTGTTATTGGAGTTGCGATCCAATCCTCGACACTACTTCTGTGTGATGAGTAGATAATGAATGCTACTATAATCGTGGGCCGTATCATTCAGCACTGCTTAATAATTAATCACCAAGTCGGAGAAGCTAACCATTATTCTAGAAGTTTGGAAGTCATCATTAGAAGTAAGCAAAACAAAAAAAACGACAATGAAATAATGCTATAATGTAATATAACAACATTAACTTATTTTACGCTTTTTAGAAACTAGTGCGCTATAATATCATTATCACATGAAAACTTCGTAACCGTCCGCGGAGCGTGGCATTAGGTAGGCGTCTGGCTGCAAATAGGTAAACAAAAAAAAAACTAGGAAAAGACAACTCAGAAACTCTTATATATAAAATTACATGATAAATACCAGTAGCAAAATGCTGTCCATAATGTTAGTTGGCGACTGGCTTATACACAATGTTGCGTACAGTCACTTACATTGCCATCCGCCTCGCATCATGAAGCATTATAATGACTAAGGATGCACTGCTTTGTAATCCATGTATATATATATGTGTTGTTCCAGCTGAACAATAACAATAAGCGTAATGGAATGATAATATAGGATAGTATACAAACAACGAGCAACTTTTTACTCGGATGTTCTCGTTAACAAATGCATAGAAGCATGTTATCAAAACCGGAAATATAAAAGAAACTTCCATTCATATTAAAGTGTCGCCAATAAGTCAACAACGGGAGTATTCTGCTTTCTCTGCAATGTGAGTTTTTCTTTGTGTAGCCTAAGAATCAGCGACGGTATTGCAAAAACAAGAGGTAGGCACTAGAAGCGATCGTTGTAGACGAGTTTGTACGCTTTGAAAATATTAGTATCGTGACCATTTGGCATTTGGATAATTTTTTGCTTCAGACACTGTCTATGCTAGTAGGAAGTACATGGACTCTGGGTAGTTTAGGCAATTCGGTTACTTTTGATGGCAATATTAGATACCTTTTACACACCAGATCAATCCCTTAAATGCTTGGACTTACTTTAGCTAGCGCCGCCTCCTCTTATATATATACCTGCTGTGTTTTATGTTATAGCAATATTTGATTTGAGCTAAATAGGGCTGCATTGCAAACTAATATGAAAAAAAGAAATGGGTATGGTGAATATGGTGTTAAACATGTAGTACCGAACATTATTTAGACCTAAATAATGTAATAAACTGAGGAATGAATGAATGAATA